GAAACTAAGTTCAGTTATACCAAAATAAGGAGGAGTTTTCATTTGAATTGATATGTGGGGTAGTGGTCAGTCAAGATGAGGGCAATTCTGAAGACGCACAAAGTTGCAACGAACGCTTTTATTTTCTTGTCTGATGGGCTGTAATTGTTCGGTTCGCTTTGGCCAAAAAACAATTCCGCACTCGAAGGCGCTCCTCCTTTCAGTAATAGAGCCAGTGTCTGCTACAGGCAAACTGTGTTGCATCCGCCGTCTGCAAGTTAGAAGAAGTGATGCCTGCGTGGATGCTGCAAGTTACATCCCCCTGAACATATAACCATCCGCAGCAAGCTCCTGAAGTACTCACGAGAGAATAAAGTACTCTTATCACATGGGCACTACCGACGTCACAAAGAATTTACGACTGGGCAGGAAGAAATATACGGACGAAAGGTCAGTGCATTTAGCAATTGGAAGACAAACGAAGGAAAGACTCACAGAGTCCGCCGAAACATTGGTTACCTGGAAACTTTCCAGCACCACTGGCTCCACCAGTTGCTGCGGATTTAAGCTACATGGAATACCTGCTCCAACTCACTTATAGCCCGGAAACTGCAGAAGGCGAGAATCCACAAAACTGGCGGGCAGTGGGGTTTTTGTTTTGTTTACAGAACTGTTTAAGATGAGAGGACCGAGGGTGTGGTACAAATTTCTTCACTTGCCATGAACACATCAGGAGATAAAAGCCGTTACGCAAGATTTCGAGGATGCAGCACTATTTCACCTGTACAGGGCGAAGGAAAGTCTGCAGAAGATGGACAAATATGTGCGGCCAGCATCCTGTGAATATTAGATAAGATTAATGAGGTTATCTTGATCATTCAACTAGTCACTAGCATTCTTGAAATAGGCATTAATGACAGGCAGTTTGGACTCTGAAGCTCCCTAGGTACCACCGAAATAATTTATTCTGCTAAAGAAACATAAGATAAATGTAGTGAGAAGATTCCGCCGCTCTAGTGATCAATTATAGGCTTTGACAATGTCTTTGATTTAGTTAATAGGGAAGCTCTATGGAGGTACGCCAGTATTTTCACAATGGGGTATGATTTCGAAAGTCCCTGATGGACTACAAGGGGCTGGAAATTGAGTTCGGATTACGCTTCCGAACATTTGAGCCCCATGCAGACGTCCGGGGGTCTCAGCAATGCTTGAATGGACAACGAGATTGGGCGACCTACGAAAATATGTACTTTGATTAAAATGATTTTTGATGTAAGCACAAACGCAAAAAATACAATATTTCGGCACAGAAAGTTTTATTCTACTCACAAAGCTTTTGCAGCTAAGAGGACTGTGCGACCAATGGCCCCCTATGAGAGAGAGATAGTGATTTACCTTACCCAAGCCTTTTACATCGAAATAAAGGCCCGGATTCAAGCCTGTGCAATAATCTTAATTGAGTTCGACGTCCACGGGAAAAAAGCAGGGTTTAGTTTCTGCCCCGACTGTGTTTCAGCTTCTCTTTAAAAACTGCCTGTCTCAGAATTGCCTCTCTAGTGAGTAGGCAGGCGATTTGTCAATTCAGCAACCGCTGGATGGTTAGGTATGTCCTTTTTTCCGGTTCACCTGCTAAACGTAAACATCGAGAACCGACCTAAGGACGTCCCGTTTTTCAGTTGGTACATGCGCATCAGGTCACCTCCCTTACCATCATTGCACGTACGGTTATTTGAGTAGCACCAGCTTACTCATTACCACCATTACCATCCTCGTTTGTGTGGTGCTATTCTAGGGGAGATGGAATGAGCTAACGGACAACACCAATATTTTGATGGTGACTGGCGTCGGCTTCCAGTGCTATGCCATCAAGTTTGAGCAATAGACCTCCATATTTTCGCCTACTTATCCTACTCTCTCGGGTCTAAATCGGTGCCAGGGGTCTTGTGCTGCATCGCGTTCAGCTCCACCAAAAACCATATTTAGGCCTTCAGCTGTGTGCAGGCGTTCAATGGCTCGACACCGCTGACAGGCAAATCCGATGTGGATGTGGGTCGGATCGACAAGTGGAGAAGAATACTACTCTGGACGAAGGATACAAGCAGACAAGAATACCATAATCACCGATCGGCCGTTGCGTGCACTGCGGTTTGCACTCGTCACCGGCGTGCAAACGAATTCAGAGTTCATTTTCTGGGCTGCAGAAACTTGGGAGAATAACTGCATCTGGTGGACACCCGAATCTAATAAGTCATCATTTTGAACCTTTGCTCCAGACCATGGTATTCTTGGTAGCCATTGCGCTCAAACGGTTGGTCCTAGGGTAATGAAAACTGAGGCCCCAATGGGCAAGGGTGACGCAACTGAACAACGACAGCTTGGATCAGTTAGCAATGATATCGCAAAAAATGCCAGACTGGGATGAGTCTTCGAGAATTCCAACAATACGACCATCCCGGATAGGCCCTTGTGCACTGCTACGCCGATATATCCGTAGGAATGGTTTTGGAATATGTTGTTCTTTCTAATCTGTAACATTGGAAGCCATTCCAGACGCTTAAAAATAGTGGTCCATCAAGCTAACAGCTTTGTCTTTAACCGAAGTTTGCCCAGGTCTGATCCAAAGAGCTCAGGCAAGGGACCGAACCTGACTGAAGCTGATGAATGTTTTTGGCTGAAAGAGTTAAAAAATACGAGTAAAAAGGTGTCTCTGCAGCAGTGCTCACCGCAAGTGTCATTTTGAATGATGGCTGTGATTTCAGTCAATTGGAAGTTGTTTGGGATAGATTGAGCAGTCATCGTTTTAGAGAGGTTTGGTAAACCACAATAAGTCCACTGGTTGTTTACCAAAGTTCTCTGAAACGATGGCTGTGATTTCTTATCACCAAGTCAACTTCCGAAAGTGCTTTGGATCCAGAGAGACGACAAAGCACACCCTGGGGTTCTTCCGTTGTGCATGTGCGTTTTATTAAGTGCTTTTTCAATGCTAGTCGTACGTCTTCGAAGCTCTTCAAAGATGCAGAGATGTAACAGGGATTAGAAAGTTGTTATTACTCACCGAATGGCGAACGAGCTGAAGTGGACTGGATGATGCAATGCGTCGCCGTAAACCCTCAGGTTCGCCAGGACCTTCATGCTTCACTCTGGGTAACAAAATTGTGCTTGTCGCCATGCAGCTTTCCAAAGTCCAACTATTCAAGTCAGCGCTATTGCAGTGCGAAGACAGGCACAGCGTTAAGCTGTTATTCACGGAGCCCACAAGTGATGCACGAATGTCCAAAGACGTTTGATTAAAAATCACACATATCCACACGTGTTGGCAGCAACCGATAACCAATCTCATTCTAACATTAGGAAGTTTTGTGTCAGCCGTGGAGAAGAACGAAATAATTTGGATTTTTGATGGTGATGATTCCAAGGAACTCGCAGCATCGAAAACGTCTCTCAAAATTTGTGCAAAGAGACATGGAGCTGCAGCAAGCTGGGCAAGCCGACTTTCGATTGCCCGTTTCGCACCGTCAACGTTCTGTACATAGGCAAATGAAAAACTGGTAGCTTGTAATAACATAACGAACCTAAATGAGGTCACTCACGAGATGCCTTACCTTGAAGACAAGACTAGCCGAACTGCACAGGTGAAATTCACACTTGTTTGTGACAGGACTAGTAGGGTGTTTGAGCTTCTGTGAAGTGGAATGTGCCTTGAAATGCTACAAAATAATTCTCTGATGTTGGTTCATCTTAACCTTCACATTTTGTGATTATCCACCTAGGTCTCGTACACTTTGAAAAGTTCTGGTCAGTCGGTATCAATCAAGCGGATTACTGCACTGGGGCGAACCCTCAGCTGAATTTCAAGCTGGAAACTTCAACTATCATCTATGTAGAGGAACCCAGGTGAAAATGACGGAGTAGTGGCTCTTATGGAACTTCAATGGGAACAAAATCCTCTTGCTTGATGAAAAATAACTGTTTCTTTTGGATCATGACTACCTTCGTTTCTCGTCGACGGCCTGATTTATTGGTCCGGTGTATCGAGGCTCGTTTCTCTCAGCCACAGTCAACGCCTATTCTTTTTCAACCTGATTCGGCCGTGAACCTTGACAGCCCTGACTGTGAAATTATCGTTGAGCCGCATGATGGACACTTGTGAGTACACGTAAAGCCTTGTTGTTCAAACAGACTAAACAGACAGATGCTCCTACTTGCACTTTACTCACCAGGATGGACTACTGCTATTAAGCTTTCCGTTCCAACGTTCGCTGCAGTGTCTGGGAAACGTGTCCTGGATGCCTCAGCACACCATAGTCGAGTTCTCCAGGTTTAGGATAATACATCTCTCATCGTTATAAGTGCTGCAGAGTGCAACTTTACAGTGGACGGTATTCAGTGTACTAGAAAAAGTCTGAAGTTGCATGATTTGTCATAGCTCCGCACGAGGTTGGATTCCGAGAAACGTTTGGCCTCCACGCTTCGCGCTTCCCTATGTGTAACGAAAGATGGCCAATTTGAATTGGATCGCACCTGGACCAGGTCCAAAGTCATGTTAGCTGTGAGTGACAGGTTATTTTGGTTCTCATGGCTGTAATCATCACTATTTCATCGTTTAGTACCTCCCCC